GCTGGGCGTGGTAGTGCGCGCCTGTAGTTCCAGCTACTTGGAAGGCTAAGGCAGAAGGATCGCCAGAGCCAGCAGGTCGAGGCTGCAGTGTCCGGGAGCGGCCACCGCACTCCAGTCTGGGCGACAGAGTGGGACTCCAACTCAAAAAAATAAAAATAAATAAAATAAAAAGTTAAAAAAAAAAAAAAGAAATGTTCACCCCCCACAGACAGGAAGTGGGCCTACACTCCAGGTGAGTGTGGCCCCGTAGCCCCCCAAGTCTTGGCTTAAATCCTTTTCTTGGAGATGTTGCTCATGACTGCATGTGACTGCCCATGACTTTCTTATCAACCACCTGTGGATGTCTTGGAGATCATGTAAGACAAAGACTCATTAATGTTCACTCACATTATCATAGCCCCTAGAGAAGGGTGTGACAAGGATTCTAATTCTGTATCTTCCCGAACGACACTCCTTGGAGCTAATGGAGTGTGCACTTCCTCCTTATCTCCTAGACATTCCCAGTAGGTAGTTTCAGGGGGTCCTTGACTTCCCTGTAGACAGGGCCCGTTCTACTGGAAGATTAAGTCCCCACCCGCTCCCCCTCTGGAGGGGCCATAACTTTTATAATTACAAGTTTCATGACTTTTACAGTCCTTGACCAATGTATCTTAGGCCTGGTAAATTCCCTTTACTCTAAGCAAGGTTGATTGACACTATGAGATACCTGGCACCAGGAAGTCTGTTCCTAAAAGACAAAGTCAGCAAAGTTAATTTTTACTTAAAGTGTGCATTTCTCCAAAAGCATAGCTTCTACTTTCTCATCATTGTATTAAGATTTAAGAAGTGTAAAAAAAAAAGCATTTCCCACTCTCAGCCTATCCTTTCATCCACCAACTCACACCTTGAGTTCTCAAGATTAAACAGTGGTGGAAAGTTACCTTTGCTATACGTTCTCCATGTGAATGATAGGAAGAGTCTTTAAACAACTTCCATAACGCTGAACTGCAAGTACTACTGGAAGTATTGTATAAGAAGTAGTTGTATGAGGTCTTAAAAATTAACCTCAAATCTCAAGCAGGCTAAATGTGGTCATTATTAAAAGGTGGGGAGGGGAGTAGGGATGATATCCACAAGGATGTAAGATAAAGGGCTTCCCTATACATATGTGTGGGGACATAAATTGATAATTTAGTGAAACATATCTAAAACTTACATAATGTCCAGATTTTGAGCCCAGCAATTATACTTTTAGGAAATTATCCCAAGGAAATAAATAAGCAAGTGCACTAAAATCCGGCAACAAGGCTGGTCATCACAGCTTATTTATAGTCATGAAAAATTAGTAGCAAATGTCCAAATATAGCTGGGTGCAGTGGCTCATGCCTATAATTCCAGCACTTTGGGAGGCTAAGGCAGGAGGATCTCTTGAGCCCAGGAATTCAAAACTAGCCTGAGCAACATACCAAAACCTTGTCTCTACAAAAAATAAAAATACAAAAATTGGCCAGGCATAGTTGCACATGCCTGTAGTCCCAGCTATTTGGGAGGCTGGGCGGAAGGCTTGCCTGAGCCCAAGGGGTCAAGGCTGCAAGGAACCGTGTGATTGTGCCACTGCACTCCAGCCTGGAAGACAGAGACTCCAACTTAAAAAAAAGTCTAGCTGAGTTCGGTGACTCAACCTATAATCCCGTGACTTTGGGAGGCTGAGGTGAGTGGATTGCCTAAACCCGCGGGTTCGAGACCCGCCTGGGCAACTTGGCGAGACCTCATCTCTACAATAAATCAAAATGAGCCGGGTGTGTAGCACACGCCTGTAGTTCCAGCTACTCGGAAGGCTGAGGCGGAAGGATCGCCGGAGCCCAGCAGGTCGAGGCTGTGGTGGACAGGAGTGATCTCTGCACTCCAGTCTGGGTGACAGAGTGAGACTCCAACTCAAAAAAAAAAAAAAAAAAAAGTCTAACTACATAGGCACGTACACAGGTATCTGAAAAAACATAACCAAGGTATATTTTCTCTGGGAGGTTAGAATATAGGTATTTTCTATTTACTTCTTAAGGTTATTTTCTAGTGTTTCACTAAAGAAAACATCCTAATTTTGTAAAAAGAAATAATTATATTTGGGTTGTTCTTAACTTAAAAATCTTAACAGGCTGAGTGAAATTGTAGCAAGAAGACAGAGAGATCATGACACTATTATAGGAAGTGGCACTTTATTACACTGGCTGACCCGGTGGGTACGACAGGGCTAATGCTTTCCGGTCGAGCCCCGCAGAACAGAAGAGGGGTCTTATTCCCTTGTTTAGGTAAGGGAGGGGGTCGTGTTGAGTGATTACACATTCTCTTTGGAATCTTACAAGGTTGTACTTGGCAAAATCAGATTTTTCAAAGAGCAAATGGTCTCCAGGAAAGGCAAGCCCGCAGGGTCTGCAAGCAGGGTTGCAAACCGTCAACTTCAAAAGAGGGGTTTTGGATAAGTCTGAATTAGTTATTCTTTTGCATTTCCTTGAGAGTCATCAGCTCTGGCCATTTGGCCTTTTTAAACAAAACCAGCCTGGCGGAGCTTTAGAGCTTGCTGCTTGGCTTTCAAAAGGAAATACCTTTAACTGTTACCAACCCCCTTCCTTCTACATCAAAATGGCTCATGCCTGTAACCCCAGCATTTGGGGAGTCTGAGGCAAGAGGATTGCTTGAGCCCAGGAATTCAAGACCAGCTAGGGAACATAGCAAGACCTCTACAAAAAAATAAAAAACTTAACTGGGTGTGGTGGCAAGTGCCTGAAAGTCCCAGCTACCTGGGAGGCTGAGGTGGAAGTATTGCCTGAGCCCAGGAAGTTGAGGCTGCAATGAGCCATGATCATGCCACTGCACTCCAGCCAGGGTAACAGAGACCCCAACTCAAAACAAAATAAAAATTTTAACAGGTTCCATAAGGGTAGAGGTGCCTGGTAACTGTAGTGACCACACTGGCACAAGATTTATTTGTGAGATAATATGAAACAGTGAATACCAGTCATTGCCAAATAGGCTTCTTTGCTCTTAGGGCAAATCTCTGAGCTTACTCAGAGAGCAACACCAGCTATAGGTCTTCAGTTTCACCTCTGAACACTTCGTCACATTAGAATTCTGCCCCATCCACCACTCATAGATGTAGATCTGACTACCATCAGATCCCCAGAGCACTTCCTTCCAAGCGAGCAGCTCAGTATGCTGGTTTAGAACACAGTAGTTAAGAATCAAGACAGCCCTGAGGGTGAATCTAGACTCCACTAGCTGTGAGACCCTGGGCAAATTACCCAGTCCCTCTCTAGGCATATTTCCTCTTCTGTAAAACTGGGATAATAAAATCCATGACACCAAATTATAGGGAAGATGTAATAATTTATATGGTGCTGAGTAACAGGACCACCCATCTCATCTGCCCCAGTCACTGAGTGCATGAAATTATTTCTGCAAGTCCAAGTTTGACTGGGAACGTGGAACCCATATGCAACCTCCTACGTTCACTTCAATAGCTTGGCTTACCCCACTCATTATAACTATAGTATTTCAGATGACAAGCCTACATGTAAACAGACTTCCCTTTTAGAAGGATGCATTTAGATAATTTAGTATTTTTTTCTGATGAATCTGAGTCACCACTGCAATCTCTGCAGTGTGGCAATAGCAACAACTTAGGGAACTGGCCTGAAGACCACAGCCCCAGCATGGGTGGCCTTTCAGGTCCCTGAAGTGGGTGCTGCAGTGGATCCCATCCTTTTAAAGCTTTCCAACCCTTATACTCCTGGAAGTTGGGAACTACACACAGAAGCTTCTTAAAACTCAACATAAAGAGTCATTCAGTTCCTAAGGGTCCTACTATTTTAATGCAATTGTCGTCTGTTGTGGCTGCGGAATACACAGTCTTCTACTTCCTAAACTTTTGACTAGCTTAAAGAGAGATGAAATGGTCCGTGAAGTAAAACTGATAATACAGCTATTACCAAAAAAGGTAGGTGCGCCTACTCTCTGACTCTGTGCCTCCATTTCCTCACAGGTGAAGGATAGAGCTAAAAGTCCTTCTGACAAAACATTTAGCCTTTCTGGAACAGATCATTTGAGGAGCCCCTAAAGGCCCCTAGAGCTTTTCTTCATAGCAATAACTCAAGTATCCTCCTGATACTCTCATGGTGCCCCCTCAATTTCTGTAGCTCTTGTTGTGCCCTCATTTGGTATGTAGCTCTTGTGTACCCTCATTTGGCATGTAATTTTTAAATTTGCACCAACATACTGACATACATATCCCCAACCTGGAGTCCGCAAGAGCAGTTAATTCTCATTTTTCAAACACACTGCTGCACCTGGCACAACTTCTGACAACTTATCCTCAAAGCCACATCTGCCACCAGAAAGCAGCTTCCAATCCATGTGACCCAGTCCCCCCAGAAAGTCACACATTTTTAAGTTTCTTTTTATTTAAGCTGAAGCTACTCAAACCATACAACAGTAGCAGAGAAGTCCTCCTAACTTGGTCCCTCTACAAGCTTCCATGCAAAAAGGCTAACAAACCCCACAGCAGACACCCAGGTAACTTCCAAAATATCTTGTATGGGGATCTCTTTACGGGCAAGAAGTCAAAGGATTCTGAGGTGTCTGACATCAGGTATTTTCTCTATGAAGGAGCTTAGATTCAGGCTCGGGAAAGTCAGGCAGAGGAGCAATTCTTCTTCAGGACTTTCACTCACTGGTCTCCTGTGGCTACCTGGCTATTTCAGAGTAGCAGGGTTTGCTCTGCACTATCAATTTTGACTGATAAACACTGATGTTACTGAGAAAGAAGACTGCCTGCAGAGAAGACCTGACCCCCAGAGAGATCACAGCAGGCTGCTGCCACCTCGTGGTAGTTTGGTGCAAATGTGGGAGCAGCAAACCCTGCAGAGCAGAGCTCTCAAGGAAAACAATTAAATGTTATGTATAAAAAGCAAAGTATTAAGACCAAGTGTACAAAATGGTTATGTTTATTCAATGTCCTGCGTATTCAGGTCAAAAATACCTAAGCCTTACTGGTGCTACTGCAAGAAAGCTTTCCTGACCTACATGATTCGCCTCAGCTTCTCTCCACAAGCACAGAACCACCTGAGCCTAGTTTAGATCAAAGTGCTCTGGAGAAAAAAAAAACAGCCAACATAAAAGATAAGCACAAACCAGCTTTGCCCAAAAAAGTACTCAGAAGTCATGTAATATTTACAGACAATATCAGCTGGGCTTGTTTGGGGACAGGAGGAGAGAGCATGATCCAGCTGCGAGGCAGATACACTAGTCCTGGTCCTTCACCACTTTCTTCTCTTCCCTGAACCCACAAGCAGCTCTCATTAGCCATTCCCAAAGCTTCCACAAGTCCTGATTCAGCTTCGTCACCATGTCCCTCACCTTCAATTTAAACACCGTTATTCAGGAAATGAAGGCCAAGACCAGGGTGCGTGAGGGGGACAAGAAATAGGAGAAACTCTCCACACAGTCCCCGTTCAGAGACAAGGTCTCCTCAGATAAGGAAGATGATGCCCTCAGACACCATGACTTGGTTGTCATCCTGCATCTTGCTCAGGGCAGCCTCGATCTCCACAGAAGAGAAGGGCTCTTCTTTGTTTCGGTTGATGGATTCTGTGAGGCGATTCATGCCTACCGACTGTGCATGAGCTTCCCGGAACACATCCAAGAGGGCCACCTTGAATGCCTTCAATCTGCCCAAGATGGGAAAAAGGGCAAAAGAGGAGTGAACAAACCCAAATTCTCTCAAGCAAGATCTATCTGTACTGGGAAAACCCACGGTATTAACATAGCAGAGGTGTCCCTCCATATTCTCACACACACACCTCCCTCTGATGGCTGCTCTACATTGGAGAAGCCCCCTCTAAAGTCAAACTATTGTACGGCAAAGCTTCCTCCACGATAAGAAATAACAGTATTTTAAAACTAGAGGCCTTTGAAGGTCAGGGGTAGGGGCTCATGCCTGTAATCCCAGCATTTTGGGAGGCCAAGGCAGGATCACTTGAGCCCAGAAGTTTGAGACCAGCCTAGGCAACAGTGAGACTTCATTTCTACAAAAAAAAAAAAATCAAAAAGTTAGCCAGGCTTGGTGGCTCAGCCTGTACTTCCAGCACCTTGGGAGACTGAGGTGAGTGGATTGCCTGAGCCCGCGGATTCGAGACCCACCTGGGCAACTTGGCAAGACCTCATCTCTACAATAAATCAAAAATTAGCCGGGCGTGGTAGCGCGCGCCTGTAGTTCCAGCTACTTGGAAGGCTGAGGCGGAATGATCGCCAGAGCCCAGCAGTCGAGGGCTG